TGTCGTTGAGATGTATAACCTGGCATAACTTGAACATTACAGAGCGAGTCAAAATCGTATGATTATCAATTATTCCTCTTCTTTTCCGTTATTATCTGTTTATAGCATTGCTTGTAAATGCTCTTATTAATATGTTTTATTCTTAACCAGTGAGCTTTTCGTTGCATTCATGGATATATCCATTCATTATTTTTCAATATTATAAAATGTAACTCGTTGATAATGATCTATTCTATAAGTGAACATTTTTTGAGTTTATTCATTTCAAACAAAAGCGTACAGTTCCTTCTTATAATATCACGAAAGTTGTCTCCCTATTAATGTTTATTCAAGTATTAGTCTTAAGATTATTTATAACATTAGGCAATGTAATAAAAATAATAAATGAATCCGAGTTTCTAACACAAAACATGAATACAAAGCCAGCATCCGACCACTATATATATTTGGTGACATTGTAACAATGTAAGCATGTATAGATACGGCCAAGCAATTAGAGTCGCGTGCGCATTGCATTCGACAACACTTCCGGCATGCGAGGCGTTGATGTCTTTTCATAGACATTGTACACTTCGCCTTATAAGGTGAACGGTGGTGTCGCTTTCAAAACAACCTACGAAACACATGCTTTGAATGACATGTTATTTGGTATAAAATTGTATTCTACTTTTGTTTACGATTATAATACAACCTACATCTCTGCAGTATCTATAGATAGGATAGACATTGATACATATTTCATTAGAGGTAGTAGTATTACTAATTAAGAATTAATTCAACAGGTTTACTAATCGTAATAAGAAAAGAGGACATGCATATGATTTGAAAAAGTTTGACTGAAAGGATGTGAGGAACTAGAAATCAAAACAGTGCTATAAATAGGCCCAAAAGATATCATAACGAACATGTATCAATGTACAAATAACCTCCTATCTTCTGTTAAGAAGTTGAAATCACCAAAATTTTATTTTGGTTGCACAAATAATTATATTTTGGATGCCAAGTTTGTTTTTTTTCTTTTCCTTTGAGTACTAGGTTGTTATACGTATTTTCAGCTTTTTTTAATTTATATATATATATATATATATATATATAGGATAAAATACAAGCACACCTATTACTTGGTCTACAAAACCCATATTAAAGAATATAGTTAATTTAACATATGTATAAAAAGTGGTTGGCAACCTAACATATAATACGACGCCTCCGGCCGCTCTAGTTAATTGCGCTCGTTATAAATATCTTGTAATCGTTGGCTGTGTGTAATTACGTGGATTAGTAATTTGTTCTCGGCTACCTGTGTTCCCGGGAATCGAACTGGCAGCCCGCAGCATCCGGCCGTAGTTGACTACGTCCGTCGCCAGAGGCATATGGTCGGACTGTCGAAATTTTACAACGAATTTGTTAGATATAATTGTTTATGTTAATTTTCGAATGGCCGATCTGGTAGTAATAATGTACTTACGTATATTCCAACGTTAAATATGTTCATACAGAATGATTTATTCAAATTTTTAAACTAAAATCTGACCTACTTCTAAATATATAAATATTATAAAAAATCTCTTTCACCACGTCTGCTTGTATGGTCGCAATAAACTCAACAACTATTGAATGAATTTCCATAGGTTTAATTTTTATCTAAACGATAGTAATTCTCCACAAACGTTTAGGTGTACAAGTGAATGTACTGAATACTACCTGTACGAAGACGGGTCGCTAGTAAAGAATATACAGTTATTTCGTCAATTTAAAGTCATTTTATGAATATAGGTAATCATTTGTCAATCCAAGATATTGTTCAGTTGTTTATTAATTACCAATTCGGACCTTACGAAGATCAGAGAGAAATAAGACTCGATTCCCTTTGCCGGATAGGAATAGCTTTACAGAAGGTTGTGGAAGGTCGTCGCTAACAAATTATTTCATTGGAGTGGGCGCGGCGCTGGCGGCGCGCGCGCACCCACCTGTCCGATGGACCGGATACCGCGCCCCGCGCCCCTCACGTCACCCGCACCTCTGCCCAAGAGCCCTAGAGGGTAGGGCTGCTGCATATTGCCAAGGCCAAGATATACGTTGATGTGGTTGCAGATCGAACTGGAATGTTATAGGCCAGTAAGCTACAGGTTAGACAATTTGAAATAAAGGATATAATTAGACCAACCAACTAGTTACAATAACCAACGTGAACCACTAAGTTAACTTTTTTATTCGAATTTAAACAGTGTTTATGATTTTTTTTAGTCGGTTTAACATTCAAATAAAAGATGCATATATCCGACCTCGTACCTCCTAATTGTAGAATTGTATAAATTCTACAATTACTTACAATTCTATCTTCACTTTAAATTTCACTGAGATTCGCTCAGTAATTTAGTTGTGAAAAAGTAAAAGTATATAGTATGGATAATAAACTTAGAGTTTATCTGGATTAGTTAAACTCTAAGTTTATTTATATACAGTTGTTGTGTGATACGTCACAAATTTCAATTGTTAACAAATACAATAATGTTTTGTCTAGTGTTACTTTGGTAAAATAGTTTTTTGTTTAATTAACGCTTTTTTATTAATTTTGTTATAGGACCCGTTCTATTTATTGCTACAACAAGTATCAACCCTATCTACACATGGTCCTCTAGTAACTCTCTCCCTTTCAAAGCTTAAGTCAAAAGCCTTAGGATCTAAAGTTACTTGTCAGTATAAAATAAACGCCCCCGGGTATACGTCTCAAATATCGTTTCCAAAAAATCTCTTAAAACGTTGGACGAGACCTGGAGCGTTACAAAGTGGCCAGTTGTCTAGAATTGTGAGACCATTGTATATTCAAAGGAATAAATTAGAGCCACGCGATATTATGATAATTAGTTTCACGGTCAATCAATACATTATTAGCGTTATATATAATATAATAGTTAACAACTTTAGTTCTTAAAGAAATTGAGATTGACTCGGCCATAACATTTCCAAACTAATTGTAGATAAAAAGACGAATGGCGATGTAGAAATAAAAAGACCTTTAAGATTCTCAGAAGTAACAGACTACACGTGTTATTGACCATTGTGATCTATTTATTGGAAAGATGATCTGAATTTTAATTCGTACCAAAAGATTGACGTTACGAATGTTAATATAGCAACCAAGTGGCCATTTGGTTTGGTTTTGTCCACCTTATTAGGAATTCAATGTTGTCACAAAATGTAATGTCCCATTAGCATTCAGGTCGTTGTCATAGCTCCGTTTAGTAGTTGCTCTTGGTGTAAGTCAACAACGCTCACATTGTGTTTCTTGAGCTTTTTGTGTGATACACAAAAGGTCTACGTCCGGTAGTTGGAGATCGGACGAGTCGTTTCCGTGAAATCTATCGCAATGCACAAGAAACGGGAAGTATGTCCGGAACAACGAAAAAAATGCTAGTTTTTCACACCTCCGTATCGGTAGGGTTGGCAAAAATTTGCTTTTTGTTTGCATTTCCTGTGTACTTTAACTTGGAACAGGCTTGTGTTCTTTAAATACAAAGTACATCTCTACCTACTTTTCGTGTTTGGTAACACTATTATCAGTTGTATTATTGAGATGTGTAGAAAAATTTTAAGATTATATAATATATATGATACGATAATGTAGTAGTGGCATCAATTTACACGTTTTTATTTAATTTTAAATTCTTTTGGATGGTTGGAAACAATACATCAATCTGATAATATAGAAATACTTAGTAAAAGATTCTGTAACCGGGAGTTAGCTTTAAGATCTATAAAATGAAATCGTCACTAATTTTGACTCATTTCACTAGTCTCGACGATCATTGGGTTGAGAAATTAGGCTCCGATCATGATGAAGTCAATAAATGATTAGCATAAATAAACATAGAGTATGTTATTAAAATGTTGTCAAGCAAAATCGAAAGGAAATGTTCAATAGCTGATACGTATCTAGTATGTAAATTTCACCGTTTCGTTAAAAAAGGAAATTGTTGCAATTAAACGTAGTACCTGCCTACGCATTTACGAATAATTTATAAATTACGGACGTATCAAGAAACACGATTATTGGTGTCACTTGCCCTAGTAGTGTGCAGAAAAAAAGTTCTCACAGCAAACAGGTTGAACGAATGGCATATTTAATCTTCCGGTCGGAAGTCCAACGGATGGTCCTTTCTGGAGAAAAAAAATGAGAAAGGAAAAAATCTGAGTGCACATGTGTTCATTGTGCGTTTTGAATTGATGATTAACATCTTTCGGGTTATAATGACGTAAGGCAGGTGCTTCGTAACACCTTAAGATGTTCCCACGATAGTTCTCTTTTATATTATGATTGATTTCGTCGACTTCTGAATTTGAGATTTATGCGGAATAACTATTTTATGAATTGCACTGAAATACTTACAATAATATAACATTACGCACACAATACATGGATAGCTTTTAGCGTTCTTCTGAGTACCATATATAAGAAAACGCCTCATAGGCAATGAAATGACCTATCGTTATAAAATATCAAGGTTTTACCTTTCTTAAGTTTAGTAAATGCGCCTTGGGAGGTGGCATTTCGTTATAACCTAATATTAACTGCTCTTCATATATGGAACCAATATACCTAGCAGTCATTATTTAGGGCCGTACTATTAACGGCAATAATTTCATATGTTCGTACCTTGATAGCATTATATTTATTTTAAATAAGAACAAAACCAAGTATATTCTTTTTAGTCAGTTAATAATTTGAATAATATAATTTATTATTAGTTAAGTATTTATATAGTGATTTATTTGTATGTAAACAGTTATTTTTAAAGACACTATGTTATGGACTTTATTTGACACAATAACTGTTATTGATAATTTCTATCAAAGAAAACAAACCAATATAAGGACAAAACGAATGCACTATAAAAATATATTGTGTTATTGATGCATACATAAATATGTGAAATTATTCTGAATTCAAACTTTACTTCACAAACAAAGCGTTAATAGTGTAATTGTTTGTTTTTCAGATGTCAGAGGAAGACCTTCCTGACTGCAGAGCTCGACAGGTGTGCAGTAAAGTAGATTTATACGATACTACACAGCCGTGGATAGAGAGGAAATGTCGCTGTTTGGGTCACAGGCCGTGTTCTAGGTAAGTTTCTTCTTCTAGGTAGTAATATAAAATAGATTAGACAGTAAACCACCAACATTACTATGAGAGCAAGATAAGCAAATGATATTGCATTATATCTGGGTGATTGTAACTAAAAATATTAATCTCGCTTACAGAACAACTAGGTCTTATTTACAAATATTGGAAAGAGGATCATATTAGACAGATAGATTAACAGAAGTAGGTTATACAAATATAATATAAAAAAATAAGATTGTTAATTAAATACCATTTCTCTTCTTGTTTAATAAAGAAGTGATGGGAGCACCACCCACTAGATAAACACTTTAGGAACAATTAATTCTTTTTCTAATTATGAATTTAAAAAAAAGGATTTCAATGGTTATTTTTCTTAACAACAAAAAACATATCGCTACTACAGTAATATACCAGATGGGGTATTCAGAGGCAATGTCAACTGTCAATATTGTGTGAACGCAACATTTGATTCAGTTTATTTTGAACCCAATGTGGCGGCAATATTCGGATAAATTTTTAGTTTTATATCTGTGTTTTCCTTCACCAGAGTCAGTCAGAAATTATAAATTGACTCAATTTTTTTGTTTTCGCTTCGGCCGGATGTGAACTTATGACCTCTCAGGCGTAAATCAGGATAGTAAACCACAAAGTCACGACGATCTCTCTTTTTTAATACCTATAATATTATTTGTTTATAATACTACGTTTTTAATTTCAGTGATTTATCTGCTGGTGATGACCACACCTTGTCAGACAAGACAACATTATACAAGACATGTGAACCAGTAAGGCGGTTACCAAAATGTCGCTACTTCAAGGATGCTGCTTGGACCATCTTTTCATTTCCAGACAGTAATGCCACTCAGCAAATTGTTAACTGTCACTGTCCTAAGAATTCCATTACTTATTTACTGAAGAAGCTACCGTACACGACACCTAGCGGAGAACAAGGGAATCAATACCAGTTCGCGTGTTCACCGCAAATCGTAAGTAACTTTAAGCTTTATAGTTTAGAGGATGCGCCGCTTGGTGGCGCTACTGTTTGTGATAGAGGTATTTTCTTCCTTTAAAGTTTCTAAGAAAATAAGGCATTGTACGGACATTTCGTACTAATAACAATACAGTATGGTTAATTTTATTAACAAAAGACATTTATTATTATTTATGCCTAGAAGAACTTTCCAAACGCTATCGCTATGCCTTGTTTTCAAAACTAATTGTTAGGAATACTTATATAATATTCAGATTACATAAATAGAATGTATTAACGTTTTAAATTAACGCAACTAATTACTGAGATATTGTTACGTCATTAAGTTCATACTAATATGTGATGAATTGTATCTATTAATCTAAGTTAGTTTTTCACATACGCTGGCCATGAGATAATTAATATTGTATTGTTTTCATGTTACAGAGATTACGTTGTTCGAGAAAAGAACCTTGTAAACTGTTCAGTGCGAGGCGACGACATGAGCAAATTGATGAAGTTAACGCCAACACTATATGCCAATGTCCCAGGGATCACACGTGTCCAAGACATCACACAGAAACTGGTGTATTGCCAGGAATCACGTACGCGGCTGAAGACATCCGCACATACCATGGTTATTGCTTACCCGAACCAATACCAGAAGTATACAGGTTCGTAGGAGACAAGGATTGAATTGACCTTATAAATTGGAGTTAGACAAATGAACAAAGAGCATGCAATAAGGGCAAAACGTAGAATTTAGAATCAAGTAGGTCATTTTAATGCATGAACAAAATTCAAGTATATAAATTATCTTATAATATTTATGGAATGCCCTATACAATTTTACCAGCATGACAATTTTATGATTACAAGACTACTTCACTATTGAGTTCAAGTCTCCCTTCATAATGGATAGATTTAGTGTAGTCAACATGATTTGGTTCAGGGTCTTTATTAAGTATTTCTTTTCTTGCACCTCTGTATTTGTGCTTCTTTCAGACGCCTATTACGACATATTGGGGATGAAAGTAGTAGAGAAACAACGACAATATGCTAGTTTGGTCTAACTCCACTTTTATAAAATTTATAACAGAATTAACGCTATTCCTGTAAGTAGTCTGTTACCTTAGTTTTTTTTCTTATAAATATATCCACAACTCGCGCAAACAAAATAACCACTAAAAGTATTCGAAAAAATAAAAAGACTGCAAACTTTAGATTTTCGAGATTCAAGTATAAGATTCGAGTATTAGTGTACAAATAATTAAATTATATATTTTAAATATTTCTGTGAATTGCGTTAATTCAGTTATACGGTATATAGCATCTAAGAAACCGGTTTATTGTGACCATGTACTTAAATTGTACGTTGAACCCTAAAGCGTGTATTTGATTTTGCCGCTGAAAATTTTCGTTTGCTCATTACCTGTTTAGTACAAAAACGATTCAGTTGATTAATTTTTGGTGTATGTTGGTATGATACTCAGATGAACAAAAGTATTTTAAGTATTTTTTTTATAATTACTAACATTCCTAGGTGCCATAATTCATGCGGTAAATCGCGAACGTTTTAAACTTACACTTCCATGAACTTTTTTTATGTACCTCGATATTTATTATGTATCTCTCGATTTGTATCAATTTATATATACATACATATGTCTAAAACAAGAAAATATAGCAATAGAGTCATATTGTTATATTTTCTTATTTTAGACATATTATGATCAAAATATTTACTATTTCCTGTATAATGAATAGATACAAATCGAGAGATATGATTCACAATTTCAAATGGTTCTACTTGGGCTGATATATAGATAATAGTAAAATAAAGTTAAATTTATTTTAGACAGAGAGCTGTCTGTTTGTATTACAAAAACTAACAGACAGAGAGATATAGATAAAATTTCATAAACTACTGTTTTAATCTTGATTTCTTGAATGCCCTAAGGGAATATGGCTCCCATTCATTACTTTAGATACTCATTTATGTAACAATTATTTGAATTTAATATTAAAATTGATTAAAAGATTAGCGTAATATGGGCAGTAAATTTTATCTTTTTAAACTTGAGATCTAACAAAATTCTGATTACTGAAGTGAATCATACTTACTAATTTTTTGTAAGACGCATAATTATTTTAAAGATTGTTATAAGTTGACGTTTTAACAAATGCACAGATATTGTCAGTCGTATAACATTTTTATCATACCACTGTGTTATGGTCTTTAGCTGATACATACATTGTAAATATACTAAGAATTGTTGCTGTTAAATGTAAATAATTTAATCTAAGAAATCATTCCAAACGTTAGTTTAATTTTTTCATATTTTAATTATTGTCTTGCCATACATATTTTCGCAGTCTTCCATTCCAGTCACGGAGACATAACTTTTGTTCATTGTTTTGTTTATGTTATAATTGTAAAATATTATTGTTATAACACTAAGTTGATAAATGTAAAACTTATTTTAAGTGATAGAATATTTTTTTAATTATGTGATCAATCTTATAGACAATGTACTTGCAAGATGCAAATGCAAAATGTAGAGAGCTTAAAACTGCGAGTAATTTTTACAACGGATAATATGTATACACTTTTTATATTTTTATTAATTTAGTAACGAAGGACAACGATTTAAATCTATTTGATATAAAACAACTATATATAATGTATTCTTTTGAATATAAGTTAAAGTAAAATTTTAAGTATTTTATATTTACTAAATGAACAAGCCACCTACTTTTTTTATTAAGAAAAACGTAGGTTGTTTTCATTGTGAAAATATACTGCGCAGTGAGATATCGTTACAAATATTTTTCAGTATTGTTTAATTATTTTTTTTATTATAATTAATAATAACGCTGCCAGTGATGAGTTAGTAGTAAGGATAGGACTGCAAAGTTAATACTTTGAATAGAGATTGATGTAAAAGAATTGAAGTCTCTATATAATTGTAACTATGTAAATACAAAAAAGTATTGATGTTTAGAGTTTATGGTATGAGGACTAAGATGTCTGTCTTCCTTGTTTTATGTAAAGGTAGCGATTTAAGTTAAATTATTGAGAGCAAATGAATAAATGTTTCGATATCAAACTCTGGCTATAATTGAGTTTCCCCAGCAATATCCATACAGCACGGTTTTTACAATAATAACTGTACAGAAGTGTATGTGAATATGTCCCTAGGTCTAGTTTAATATTATGTGCATAATATTAAACTAGACCTAGGGACATATTTAAGTTGGAGAAGATTTATTTTACTGTCATCTCTTAATTTAGTATTTTATCAATTTATAGAAGTTCATAATGAGAAAAAAGTCCAAAAAGTATTGGAACTGGCAATCCCATATTAGAGACAATTTAATATTATGGCGACATTGAGATATTAATTAAATTGAAGTCATATACAAAAAAAATAAATTGACTATTTACTTACCATACTTTAAATACAGTTTAAATACGAAATATAGTTTTATAAAAATGTATGTTTAAAAATTAGAAGTTAAAACTTAACTGCCTATTTTTTATTGGTAACCTGTTCCATTAGAAAAGTAAAAGTAAATTAAAATTACGGTAAGACATCCTATTAGAAATGCAATAAAATATTATATAAAGATATATACAAAATATTACACAAATTATTATGTATAGAATATTTTATTACAGTTCTAATAGGATCATAATATATATGACAACATTAACGGAGCTCACATTAAGTAATAATTTTTATAAGTAAACTGGTGCAGTAATCGTTTTATTCTCAGCTATAACATGCCGATGCACAGTTCAGTACAAGTAAGGCCGTTTTTATGGAGTGTAGCCAATCAGAGATTACGATATGTAATAACCCAGCAAATAACTTTAGTAAAAGATGTGCCGTCAATTTGCGAGTCGATCTATTTTTTCATTCAGAGCCTTTCCGACGTACAAGTGGTAATGGCTAGAACGCCTTATAATAATATTATGTACGTAATTTGCTTATTTATTGACTCAAAAATTACACTTTCTAAATTAAAGAAACAAACCACTAAAATTGTTACAAAGACGCAAGATATCATTTACTTATTGAATTTTAAACAAAAACAAAACTATTTAATCTCTAAAAATAAATCACCGATTTTAAATTTTGTTTCACATATAGAAAACTGCACTATCAGCATATATAGTGCATAGCTGTATTTAGAAAAAAATGAAGTTTACATTACATTTAACAGTACTGTATTTATAATTGCAATGCGTTCAAACATGTAGGTAAGTTGTACAAGACATGTAGTAATCGATTTCTTCCATTTCGATGTATGAAGAGGCTTGTTACTATATAAAGAGACTTGTCCCGACTGACTGATCTGGGGTAGAAACTAGAAATGTCGAATACAACTTTCATTTATTACGTAGGAATTTAGTCAGAAAAGATTTTCTGGAATTCCCACGGGTATAGGAGATAATAGGTTCGCGCTTGAAAGTTGTGGTAGACATAAGTAATTGTAATAGTTTCATAACAAATTCAATTAGTTTTTAAAGTATGAACTAGCTGTATAATACTAAATGACGGCCTCGGTGGTCTAGCGGTTTAGCATACTGCCCTAATTGATCGCGGGTTCTATTCATCTCGGTGGATACAAACAGTTGTATTCATCACAGTTTACACAGATTTTTAGTTCACAGATTTGGGGGTTTTATATGTATCATATATGCATATACAAACAATATTTTTAAGTATTTCTATCAGTTAATTAATATTCATTATACAAGCACTGCTTAATTAGGAACTAGACGGCGCTGTGTGAATTGTAGGTTATTATTACAGAATAAAAAATATTTCTGCAAGAATCCGGAATGTATAAGACCGTAATAGATGTATGGGAATCGTCGCAGATAGTATAGTAGTCGCAATATGCAGGTCGCGATGTGCTCACGAATATTAGAAATATTCCATAAATTTCCATACCCTCGAGTTCCGCGTATCACGACTTTGACATATTTCATTAAATTGACAGATTCTGTGTTTGAAATATGCATGGTTTTTAAAAGCATATTATAGACACTTTCAAAATTCAAAGATGATATGTATTATACATATTAACTTTGTTCTACCCATTTACATCATCTAGTCACATGCTAAGAAAACCTTGTGCGGTGTGTGTTATAGGTACTAGACAATTTATATATAAATACTTAAATATATTTGTTTTATAAATGCATACATAATATACATAGAGAACACTCAGGTCAACACAGACAATCATACGCATGAATTTGTAATCATAAGTATATTATTTATATTTGCACAGTACAAACATTTGTATGTTGGAATTGTGCGAGGAATAGAAACTACGACCATCATAAGTTAAGCGGTGTGCTAAACCGCTAGACCACCGACGCAGAGGATGTGATTTAAGTTCAATTAAAGTTAATATTTACCTACTAGTGTTGTAGACCACAAAATCTATTATTGTGTAAATGGGAGTCCCATTTACATCCCGTAGAGCTCATTTTTTTTGTAGGTGATCTTCGATCAATGTAAATCAATATTAATATAATTTATGTGTTATCGACGAAAATAATTCATTTACCCGACGAAATAATTGCGTTACAAGTAAATATATATATCTGGGAAGCTATTCATTTAATAAAGTCGTAATACGCTTTAAATATTGAACATTGTAAAACGACCATTTGCCACGAATGCATTAAATCGAATCAAAACATTCATGTCGAGTCCTCGTTTAAGAAGCTATATCTATATCAAATTTATTTTATTTTCAAAAGTGAACTGTCATTACTGAAAGTGAAATTTATAACTATACTTAAATATGGATCTCTTTTACATTAGACTACGAAAAACACTTTTATGAAATGCCTTTGTTGATGAATCAGGAAATGTGTTAGGAATACAGTATTACAAAGGTTTTTCCTTTTTTCTCTTAACCTTTCTCGTAAATTCGAATATAGTTTCGCCATTTCTATGAAGGTGGTATATGAGTACTGACACGGCTAGTATGAAAACGTACACCTGTATGGAAAATCTATTAAAATAGTAATAGACATAACTAACAGGTCACTTTTTGTTTTGATGTCGAAGCACGTAATTCTAAAAGTGTGAGTATAATTCCCAACGTATACAAAATCTTGGAGTTATTCTCTGAGGTCACTCCGCGAACCTTGTAAAGTTATCAAACATCTACGTTTTTTCCAGTTGGTCATATACGTATATGGCTATCAAAAGAGATCAAGTGAGAGGCCAAACGCGGAACTATGAACTTTACCTTACTAGTAACTTGATTACTTGAATATAATGTAGTAGTGCAATAAATAAATTAATTGAGCGGTAAGTATTATTTGTGTATGGGAAAGATCGAAAATTGATAATAAATGGAATAAATTTGAAAATAATATATAGCACACATTCTGTTAAACCATCATGAGTAGGTAGGATAATTTGTAGTCTCATTTCGGCACTGTACTTAAATCTGTAATAATTAGATGTAATAAAAAGCGATTTTTATGCATCTATATAGTATAGTGATAGGGGTTTTGAAATGAATCCTTAATTACTTGTCATTCCTGATTACCCTTGCATTATATAAAGTGTTTCGAATCGGCATATGAACATTATGTATACTTAATTATTCTTTGCGATTAAAATAATGAACAGAAAGTAACTT